AGCTTCTTATGGGCTTCCTCTAGCCTCTCATGAGATGCATTGAGCTCATCAAAGGCTTGCTTAAGGACTTTTAGTTCCTTACGCAAGCTTTTATATTTCCTTCTCTTAATGTCTAAGTGTTCTTTAGCATCATCTAGCATGTCAAGTAATTCATCCTTAGTTGGTTCATCATCATCACTACCACTTTCATTTTTATTATCATGTTTCTCATCACTTCCATCATCACAAGTTTGTACCTTAGTGGCCTTAGCCATGAGCATGATGGAGTGTCGAAGAGAGAAGGCTTCTCATTGATAGCAATACTTGCAAGTGCCTTCTTCTTGGTGGTCTTATCATCATCACTATCATCATTATCACTTGAGGAAGCATCACTATCCCAAGTGACCACATATGAACCACCCTTCTTCTTCTTCTTGAAAGTCATTTTGTCCTTCTTCTCTTTCTTTTCCTTCTTGTCCTTATTGTTTTTCTTGTTGTCATCACTATTGTCGCTGTTGTATGGGCATTGAGCAACAAGATGATCCTTGCTTTCACAATTGAAGCACCTTCTTGACTCTTCCTTGTTCTTTGATGAAGATTTCTTTCTTCTAACACGGTAGCCCTTCTTCATCATAAACTTGTCAAATCTCTTGACAAAGAGAGCCATCATCATCATCATCATCATCATCATCATCCCATAAACCATCATCTTCACTTGATGTATCTTGCTTTGCCTTGCCCTTGGATGATGTGGCCTTGAATGCCACACTTTTCATCTTGTCATCCTTATTCTCTTCTTTTCTTCCTTCTCATTATTATCTTCATATGTGTTATCGGTCATTATATCTTTCAACACTTGTTTTGGTGTCATAGTGTCCAAACCGCTCCTTACTAGAATAGTGACCAATGTGCCAAATCTCGAAGGTAAACATCTCAAAAACTTGTGGGAGAAGTCCTTGTCCTTCACCTCTTCTCCGAGTGCTTTGAGATTATTGACAAGCACTTGAAGCCTATGAAACATCTCCGGCACACTCTCATCCTCTTTCATCTTAAAGCTTGCAAACTTCTCCTTAAGAATGTATGCCTTTGCACTCTTCATGGCTTGAGTGCCCTCAAATGATTCCTCCAACTTCTTCAATACCTCATGAGCTCTCTCAATGTTCTTGATTTGCTCAAATGTTCTCTCATCTAAAGCATCATGGATGACACTAAGAGCAATGTCATTATTTTGGAGAAGCATTTCTTCGGCGGCGATGGGAGCCTCTTCATCATCAATCTCAATCTTGGTCTCCACCACCTTCCAAACATTCCTATTGATTGACTTGATATAAGTTGTCATCTTAGTCTTCCAATAGGGATAGTTTGAGCCATCAAATTGGGGTGGCTTCTTGGTGTTGTTGATTTGAGCCATTTTTACACCGAAGGTTGTTAAACCTCAAATCATGGTGACCACGGCTCTGATACCACTTGAAAGGTCGTAATGGCTAGAAGGGGGCGAATAGCCTATTAAAATTTCTACAACAACACTTAACAAACCGGTTAGACAAATATGAGGCGAAGCGAGTATTGCGCTAGCCTACTAAAAATATAAGCCACCTACCACAATTCTAGTTTTCACAGTTTCTATCCACACAATGGCTATGTCACTACACTAAATTAGTGTGCTCTCAAAGGCTAACTAAAGAGTCACATTAACCAAACTAACAAGCTCTCACAACTAATCTACACTAAAGAGTTTGATAACTAGTTTGTGGTAATATAAAGAGAGAGAGTAAGATGGTTATACTGCCGTGTAGAGGAATAAACCAATCAATCACAAGAATAAATACCAATGAAGACCAATCACCTCGAAATCAAATGATGACATAATAATTTTTACCGAGGTTCACTTGCTTGTCGGCAAGCTAGCCCTCGTTGTGGCGATTCACTCACTTGGAGGTTCACACGCTAATTGGCATCACACGCCAAACCCTCAATAGGGTGCCGCACAACCAACACAAGATGAGGATCACACAAGCCACAAGCAATTTACTTGAGTACTTTTTGTCTCTCCACCGGGGAAAGATCAAGAACCCCTCACAATCACCACGATCGGAGCCGAAGACAATCACCAACCCCCACTCGATGATCCTCGCTACTCCAAGCTATCTAGGTGGCGGCAACTACCAAGAGTAACAAGCGAATCCCATAGCAAAACATGAACACCAAGTAACACTCAAGCAATGCACTTGGATTCACTTTCAATCTCACAAAGATGTTGAATCAATGATGGAGATGAGTTGGAGGGCTTTGGCTAAGCTCACAAGGTTGCTATGTCAATACAAATGGCCAAGAGTGAGCTTGAGCCGGCCATGGGGATTAAATAGAAGCTCCCATGAAATAGAGCCATGGTACCCCTTCACTGGGCACTGTTCGCGGTGACCGGACGCCCCCTGCCAGCGTCCGGTCAATGGATGGCTGCCATGTCATCCCTCTCTTTAAATACTGAGCGCCCAATCCCAATGGTCAAGTGATGACCGGACGTGCTGCTCAAAGTGACCGGACGCACCAACACTAGCGTCCGGTCGTTTTCAATAAGGTTCCAGAGGTGACCGGACGCGTCCCGTCATGCCCGACCGGACTCACCCAGCGTCCGGTCACACACTATCTCCTCTGTGCGCTGCCACGTTAGTGGGACCGGACGCACCCATCCAACGTCCGGTCGAAGACCGACGCCAGCGTCTTCACTGCTTCCACTGACCGGACGTGTCGGTCCAGTGGAGGCCAGCGTCTGGTCCACTCTGTGAAACCTTATCTTTTCTGTACAGGGCGCCGGTGAAGTTTCTTACCCTTGCTCCCAAGTGCTAAACACAATGTGTATCACCTTTGTGCATGCGTGTTAGCATATTTTCACAAACATTTTTAAGGGTGTTAGCACTACACTATATCCTAAAAGCATATGTAATGAGTTAGAGCATCTAGTGGCACTTTGATAACCGTATTTCGATATGAGTTTCACCCCTTTTAATAGTACGGCTATCGAACCTAAATGTGATTACACTCGCTAAGTGTCTTGATCACCGAAATAAAATGGCTCCTACCACTTATACCTTTGCATTGAGCCTTTTGTTTTTCTCTTTCTTCTTTTCAAGTCCAAGCACTTGATCATTACTATGGCATCACCATCATCATGTCATGATCTTCATTTGCTTCACTACTTGGAACGTGCTACCTATCTCATGATCACTTTGTTAAACTAGGTTAGCACTTAGGGTTACATCAATTCACCAAAACCAAACTAGAGCTTTCAGTTGGTGCTGGCCTCGATGACGGCGGTGGGTGGGCCGCGGATAGAGGAGGGGCGCTTGACAGTTGGGGGCGGTGTGTGTGTGTGGCCATGGCGGTGAGAAGCGATGGCGCGGTAGCGGTGGGCATGCTTGGCCGGTGTGCGTATGGTGGTGGCGTGCATGCCAGCCGTGAAGCGCGTGCGCGCGTGGCGGGCTATGCTTCAAACGGGCCAAGTGAGAGAAAGAAAGGGAAGCGAGGCCGGGGCGCAGGCCTATATAAGGGGCTGTCGCGTCGTGTTGCATGGCGTGGTAGAGCTGGGCCACGTCACCGGTCAACGGTCCTGGTCGCTGCCACGGTGACAACCTCACCGCGCCCACATGCATGACATGCATGATGCGCCGCGCCATGCGAATATGTACGGCTAAAAAGGTTAGATTTGAAGAAAAAAAATGTTAGATTTAGGCTCCGTTCGCTTGTCTTAAATTTGGCTTGTTCGGCTTGTTTTTTCAGCCGGAGCAGTGTTTTTCTCTCACAACAATTCGGTCGAAACAGTGTTTTTCAGCCAGTTTTAAACAAAGTTCACACCAGCGAACAGGCCTTAGAAATAATTTTAAGAATGTGTTAAAAATAAAAAAAAATCTCTTCTTTCCGGCCCCCCAGTCCGGGAGCGTACAGCGCAGCAGCCAGCAGGAGCCCGCCGCACGCCGCCGTCCTACTCCCCCCTACTCGTGCTCCGCACCTCGCCCGCCTATCCCTCGTCTCCCCAGCCCCCTCACGGCGGCCGTAGCGTACGTCCATCCGTCCATGCTCCACCACCACCAGCCAGCCGTTCCGACAAGCTCCAATCATACGAGGCACCACCCTCGGCAGGGAGGGACAGCCCTCACGCGCGCTGCCCGGCCGGCCCTGGCCTCGAGCAGATCGACACATACACGATACGCAGCAGTACTACGCGGGGGGCGCACTGACACACGCCCGCCCCATCATCCCTGTCCCCCGTCCGTCCATCTCCATCTCCCCACCCCACTCGTGCGAGTTGCGATGCGATGCGCCTGAGCAGAAGCTCCAAAGCCTCATGATGGCAGCACCGGCCAGAGTCAGCAGCACTCGCAGCAGCTGATCGACCGAGCACGGACAGGGACGCCAGGCAGCTCATCAATGGGTACGCCACTCTGCTCTTCCATGCCAGCCAACTCTTGGTTGCTGCTGCTTCTTCTTCTTCTGCCTTTTTTCCTTTGGGTTTCCGCATGCTTTTTCTCTGCGATCTCGAGGCTCTTGCCTTCTGGTGCCGCCCCCCCCCCCCCCCCCCCCCCCCCTCTACGCGCATTTTCGAGACGATTATCGTTTGGTTCGTTGCTCTGGTCTGTTCAAAGGTGAGACGGGGGGACGAATCTTGGTTCCCAAATCCCAATGGCGCTCCGTGCTTAATAAAGGTGCGTCTGTTTGTGTGATGGTCACATCCTCTTTTGCTCGCCAGTTTTTGCTCCCCTCCCCCTGCTTCTTATTCCTTCTTTTAAAGCTGCATCGATTCCATCCTTTACCTCTTTTGCTTTCGCCTTGTTTCTCTTTCCCTTTTGATCGGTTTGATGTGACAGTCTTGTCATCATAGGCATCACCCCTTCTTGACCGCATCAGTCGACCGGTGACACTGAGCACTCACTGCACTCGCATTGCTCTCTGCTTCTTCCTGGTTGATGTTGGTGAGCAGGACGACGAGGAGGAGGAGGCAGCAAGAAGAATCTTGGCAGCTTGCAATGCCGAGGTGGGATTCGGAGGAAGGAGCTGCTGCTGACGAGGCTGCCGCGGCGGCGGCAGTGAGGCTGGCCATCAAGATCCGGAAGCGCCGCGCGGTGTCGTCGTCGGGGGGCTCGGACCCGGCGGCGGGGAGGAGGCTGCGGTCCAGGCGGCCCGCGGTGCTGCTGCCGCGGCGCCGGACCAGCGCCGGCGGGGACATGTCGGAGTCGTCCCGGAGCCGGCATTGCCGTGGCGGCGGCAGCCGCCTCGCCGACGGGACGCGGCCGTCCGCGTCCGCGTCCGCGAGGAGGCTCGTCGACGCGTTCTGGCAGAACATGGACAGCGGTCTGCTTGAAGGGGACGCGGCGGCGGCGCGCCGGTGCTTGGTTCCGTGGAGCGGCGCCTCCACGGAGGTGGGTGCTCTGATGTTCTGTTGTCCCAATTGCCGGCTCTGTTGCGTGGCTGATCAATTAGTGTTGTGATTTTAGGTGTCCAAGAGGTCAAGAAGTAAGAGCAAGATCTTGGAGGCTGATGGTAAGGGAAGTCGGCGCAACGGCCACGCTCTGTGGCTCTCGGCAGATATGATGAGCAACGGCAGCGCAATGGAGGTAAGGAAACCGGCAACTACTATCTTAGGTTAAATAAATCTCTTGTTTGTAGTTGTATTTGTTCCGTTGGAGCAAATGTTGTTTTGTTTTCTTTTTTGAATATTCTGTTTGGTTAGTGCACTGGGTCATGTTTGTGTCTGACAGAGCTTTTTACAGTTTACAAATCTAAATAAGTTCAATTCTGTCCTATGTGGAAGCTTTCGTCCAGAAAATGGTTGCCAGAAACATTGTGAAAACTTCTGTGCACTATACTGTCTGTATTATGTTGTGATTGGGACATGTGGTTGCTTTATGTTGAGCAGCGAACTAATGACTGGTTTAGCTGAGTTTCAAAGTGAATAGAAGCAAATTTTACTAATTTATTAACCAAAGAAAATGAAGGATCAACTGCCTGCATACTTACATAGGCTCTGAGTTGAGTGAGTTCCCCAGCTATGATTTTAAAAAAGTGAAGTCCTCGAGCTATTGATAGTGCATAGCGAGCTAATTAATTGTAAGGAAATAAAGCTCTAGCTTCAGAAGGGCGATACTTTGAACGCTTTATTCCAACGTAGTACACAAGATGGTTTCCATGAGTTTGATATGCTATTCCATGCCTCCAAGTCCAAGGAAGCATTATTATGGCCACCTGAGAATAGTTATCTGGATAGTGGACTGCATAGGTGCTAACTGCTGAGTTCTGAAGCTACTTATAAATTTGAACAATGCCGCCCTAGTTGTGTGTAAAAAAAGAATGTTTTACTTCTGAAAAGCGAAACCTTTTGACCTCCTCCTTCAATGAAGTACACCTTTAAGTGCATTTTGTAAACAGGAAAGCTTAGCTAACGGCTAACGCCTAAAGCTATATAGTTTCTTGATTCAGTCACTATTGAAGTGACTAGCTGCAATTTTGCAGTAATTGGACAAAACATATAAAGGTTAATTTGCCTGAATAGGCTGTCTTATATAGTTTCCAAGCTACCCGTGATACTAAATACCTTGCTAGTTGTAAGAATAAGGAATATTCAACTTGAAACAACAAACAAGCAATTAACTTTTTACACTTTGCTCGAGATTAACACACAAATTGGGTTGGCAAAATCTGGTATGCTTCTCCAGAATTCAATGGAAGAATTTCTATGACCATCTGATAATTGTTATCTTAATCGTCCATTGCATCAATACCGATTGCTGAGTTCAGAAGCTACTTATAAATTTAGACAACGCCCACCACCTAGCTGCATGTAAAAAGGAATGTTTCGCTTCAAAAATGCGAAAACTTTTGATGCCTCATCCAATGTAAGACACCTTTAAGTGAAAGTTGATTCTGTAAACATAAAAGCTGAGGAAATGTGAGGCCCATCTCCAAGGAAACAGTTTGATATGCACATGCATCTTGTCCACTTCTGCAACTGGCTATGAGCTAGCTTGTACCAGCTTAATTGTTTATTGTACTGATGAAGTGGCTCAATGATACTTTCTTCATGTGTAGGCTGTTAGCGAAGATTAGCTATTGAGAAGTAGTTGCCTTTTAGGTATAGTGTAAACACATTAGCTAAGCCTAAGAGTTTTAAACAATCTTGGAACCTTGAGAAGGCAAATTGGATGGTTGCAAGGTTAGTTGAAGCTAATATTAGATTAGAAAACAATTACTTGAGCTTTGAGGACCAGGACAACCTCAGAGATCTTTGATTATGTGGCTTGCACGTGTTTCAGTTTTAGATTGTTTTTCTTGTTCCGGGGCAAGGGATTCAGTTTCAGTCATGCTGCTTTTCTTTTGATAAGGGATATTAATATACTGTATCTGCGCTTAAATTGGCATTTTTTCTTAACTACAAATACAACGGAAGACATACCACTGGTGTATTAATTTTTCTGAATGTGCGGGATCACTCTGTAAATCTACCAAGAGCAACTTTATCAGGCTTCAAAAATCTGACAAAGTTTGAGAAATAGCTCATGAGTCATGAGTGCTTGACAATGTGTCAAAGTACATGTGTACTGGGTTGTTTCATGCAGAAATTCAATTATACAAGTCACCAATATTGTGTAAAATAAATTGCTCCAGTAAGATTTATTTCTTACATGCTGAACACTGTCTAAAGATTGTGAAATGGCAGTCACTAGTTGCTGTGTAAGGGATAAAATATTGCTGAATGATAGCACTTCTCACTTGAAGGCACTAAAGCTTTGTTAATCTATTTCAGGTTGGTACATTCTCTCAAGACGATGTTTCAAGATGTCCTGACAAAACAGTGAACCTACAGGATCTGCAGAACAGCTTGATTGCATCTAAGGAGCTGGTAAAAATACTTGCCCACATATGGGGACCTGGAGAACTGAATCCGTCAAGTGTATCACTCATTTCTGCTCTACGTTCAGAGCTTGATGTTGCCCGTTCTCATGTTAGAAAGCTAATCAAAGAACAGAAATCTGATTCCTTTGAAATTGAGGGCTTAAAGAAGCAACTTACAGAAGAAATGGAATCGTGGAAGGTAAAACAAAAGGAGAAGGTTGCAAATGCTCTCCAATTTATAGTTTCAGAGCTAGACACTGAGAAGAAGTCAAGGAAAAGAGCCGAGAAGACAAACAAGAAGTTGAGCATTGCCTTAGCCAACACTGAAGCCTCACTGCAGGAAGTGACGAAAGAACTTGAATGGGAAAGGAAATCTAAAGGAAGAGTTGAGAAGATCTGCAACGAGCTCATCAGAGGCATTGATGAGGACAAAGCTGAGGTGCAGGCACTGAAGAGAGAAACCGAGAAGGCACAAGAAGAGCTCCAGAAAGAGCGTGAGATGCTTCAACTTGCAGATGAGTGGCGTGAACAAAGGGTTCAGATGAAGCTGTTAGAAGCACGGCTTCAATTTGAGGAGAAAAATGCAGCTGTTAATCAGCTGCACGATGAACTCCAAGCTTATCTGGATACGAAGAAAGAGGAGCCATTGAATGATCCAATGCAACTGTCCCATGCATCTGAAAATGGCGCCGCTGCAACTGATGTAGTTCCTGACAGAAATGGTGGAAACTGCAGCGAAGATGATGCATCAGAAGGCAGTGATATACACTCGATTGAGCTGAACGTCGATGGCATCAACAGGACATACACCTGGAGCTACACTCCTTCCTCTAAAGGCAGGCAGATGAGCGCATCAAGGCATGAATCATTTTCGGATAGAGGGATGGATGGCGTGAACTCATGGCGTTTAGAGCAAAGCTTTCGGGACATGGATGAAGAACTAGAGGGAGACTGGGCCAAAGGGTGTAGCAACGGAATGCTGACCTTGGATCATGATGAGGAGAGGTATCTGGCAATCAAGAATCTCAGAGAGCAGATGCTGGCCGGGTCGGGGTTCATCCTGTCACAAGGTAGAGAAAATGCTGAAAAAGAGTATTGTGGCTTGTAAGATAAATTGGACATGAAGAAAATTGAAAAGTAATGTGTCATATAGATCGCTGTTTGATGCTAAGATCCAACTGTTCAAGAATATATATATAGTGATGGTTCTCTGGATGTCTTTTCCCCTGGTAAATGTCTTGAGCTCTTGAAAGTTTGGGTTACAGGGCTGTGGTGTGTTCATGTGGACTTTCATGATTCCGAGGTCTTGTATGTGTGTTAATGTCCATTTAAGTGACCGGAAATAGTTTATAAAAAAGTGACCGGAAATATAAAACAAAAGGAAAATTATCATCTGACCTCCTTCACTATCGTGTGTCCAATTTATCTCACTCAATTAGAACCTATCTGATTTATCTCCTTATTATAAGCTGTTTTGACTGATATGGTGCTACCGTCGTACGTTGCACCATGTCAGTGACAAGACGAGTAAACTGGAGTTTCACAATAGTTCAGATAGGTAAATTAGACTTAAAAAAACTGTAGAGGTAAACTTTCTAAAAGTTATTCAAATAATGTTCTAGAATGAATATGCATTTAAAAATACTAAATCTGATTTAATATTAGAAAATTCATGGAAAATTTGTTTTAACTTAGAAAAATGTGAAACCAATTTAAGGGAGGTAAGTTTGACTTCTTACAACAAAATATTGGAACGTGGAGTGTAGAGCATCTAAATCACAAAAGGATGTGTTTGCTAACTTTGAGACTTTTTTTTTTGAGTGGAAACTTTGAGACATTTAGGACTGGAACTGGAGCTCGGGCCACAACCCGGGAGCGGCCTACGAGAGAGTCTAGCCTGTTGAATATAGGATCAAGTAGGTGTGTTGTGGGTCCTGCAACTTGGGCCATGGCCTGTATTACCTAAGGCCTAGCTCCATTACGGACTAGGTCTTAATATAAAGCAGCCCTATAGTAATTTCTAGCCTTGCAACTTACAAGTGGCGTGGGCCACGCTACCACACCGTTGGATAGGCCTGCACTATCAAACCACAAATATCTCACCATCAAGGCCGCGTGTCTGAACCGTAATTATGCGGCTAACCCACATAAGCCACCGGCGTCGCTCCAACCCGCGTTCAAGCTGCGCCGGTACACTGTCACTAGTGGCGGATCTTGGATCAAGATAAGGCCTGAGCTAACCATGTTAAACATGAGCAAGAAAATCAACTGGATATCCAACACCTTGATATATGATCTTTGTAGGAGTTGCCATTCAAACTAGACTGATCGTGCATAATAGGCCTTTTTTCTCTTTTACCTGACTAAAAAGTAAGTTGGGGTAGGTTAGAGTTGAAATCCACCAAGAACCCCAAGTCACGATTCAGGCACTTCAATAGCTGCTTTTCAAGTCCTATTCAAACATAGATCTCTAGGTATATCCCAAGCTTTCAAATATCTTTTTATTGCCTCCCCCATGTCAATTTCGGTCTTCCTCTATCTCTCCTCATATTATTAGCTTGGCTTAGGACTCCACAATGCACTGGTGTCTCTGGAGGTCTTCTTTGGACATGGACAAACCACCTCAACCGATGTTGGACAAGCTTTTCTTCAATTCCCTTGTCCATTTGAGACCCTACTAAAGAAGCAGGCACTATATGTACAAGGCACTATATAGGATGGACCTAGGCTACAGCCCCCATCCTAGATCTGCCCTAGATCTGCCGCCACATCGTCTCCGCGAATGTCACATTGTAGTGTATAAGCGTGTGATGTCGTGTTGCTGTAAGAGCTGTCTTCATCCCTCCATCCGAGTATCCGACTAGTGGTACTGCAGTGTCATTAGCATCACATAACAGGCGTGCCATCCATAAATACTTAGCCCTAGCTATTATGGGAGGGTGCTGCTCAGCCGTGCTGCGCCAAACACCGTTGTCACGTGGGAGCTCTTCGTCACCGACGCGGACAGGGTGAGCCAGAACTAGACTTAGTGTGTGTTTGGTTGAGCTCTAGCTTTTGCAAAAGCTGCTGTGAGCTATGACTTTTGCAAAAGCCGCTGTGGGAAAGATGTCGCATATGGGAAAGAAATAAAGAAAAAATGAATTGTTACATTTCATAACTAGTGGCAGGTGGGTAATTTTTTAGCCCAAAAGTAGATGAAAGTAGGGGAGAGGTGCTTTGAGTTTTGTATTAGAGCTACAACAGCTTTCGGCCTAAAACAATTGTTGCTTTTCACCTCTTTAGCTGGCTTTTGGCTTTTGCAAAAGCAAAAGCATGTTTTAAAGCCCAAACAAAGGGGGCCTTAAGGAGCCTTGATGAAGTGGTGCGGGGGTCGACATGGCCATGTTCCTCGTTCCGGATTCAAGAACATTTACGTTCCCGTGTTATAAAGTATTGCCCGAAGTTCTAGTTCTTATTCCACATCCTTGTTCTCTTCCAGAAACATGGCTACTAAGATTCGATGGTGGCTTCATGACAACCCGATGGATCATTCAATGAGGCTCAGACTTGACTATGTGTCAAGTGGCCAGCCCACTAATATGCACCATTTTTTCCGGTGCTAACATTGTGACGGTCTTGATTGTGTGTCATGTGGCCAAGTTATTGTGTGTGCATTGTATGACCCAGTGGTGACTTCGTGATGCCCAATGGATAATTCATTGGCATGTGCCTGTGCTGAGTTTGCCAAGTCACTGTACTGAGCCATATGATCCGGTGGTGACTCCTGATGGATTATCCCTTTGCCTATTTTACTTTCTAGGGAGCAAAAGCAAAATCCGTGACACCTGACGGATTATCTAGGGAGGCAAACTTTGTGAAGTGTGTGAGAGCCATCCAAGCCTAGATTGCCAATTGTCAAAGTGTGCTTTTTGTGTATATGGTGTTCTTGGCTTGATTTTCATCAAGGTGTTGTTGAAGACTTGTTAGTATTGGGGTTTGCCAGCACCTAGGCGCCCTGGTGGAGGACTAGGTTAACATCATAGTGGAGTTTCTTTGGGAGGCTTCTATAAGTGCACATGGTTTGAAATCCGCTATTCGGGAGTATAGAAGGGTTATGCAGTAGTGGAAACTTGTGATTTCATGACTCAAAGGAGCTAAAATGAGTCTTAGTGACTCTTAGGTGGGGACTAGGGGATTGTGGAAACAAACTAATACCACGGGGAAAAAAATTCTGGTTGTCCCTTTACCTATTTTACTTCTTACATTACTTTCACTTGAGAACCCGCTACTCTTAGTGTGAACCTTGCAAAGGACATGGTTATGATGATGGCCCCAAAAATTTCCTAGTGTGATATTTTTGGTCTTAGGTTTCTATGTGCAAATGGGTGAAATATATTTGCATAGGCTAAGGTTGTTATTTATTGCTTTAATTTTTAGAGCCTAATTCAATCCCTTAGGCCATTCGCCCTTTCAGCTTCAATGTTTATTCTGAAGAGAACATATATATTACAATATGCATGTTGATTTATGTGTATAACATAATCACTGCGAGTTCTTCATGAAGTGACAACGAGAAACTGCTGAAGCATGTGCTGACAGTTGATTCTTCTAAGGGCACCCACAATGGCTGACTCATGAGCTGGCTCTTGGCATTTTTTCATATTTTAATAAAAGAGAGAGAAAAGCTAGCTCTTGATCAAGAGTTAGGCTCATACACACATTCCAAAATCATGTGAGAGTGTCATATGGGTCTAATCATACTATGAGCCATTGCTAAGAGCTAGCACTATTGTAGAGGTTAGCTTAGAGCTAGTAACTGACTTATACCATTGCGGGTGCGGTGCCCGCAATGGTCTACGTAGCTAGTTTACGTAGAGGTGAGAGACAAAAGTAAAGATTATTTTATACATTCTTATTTTTATATGTAGTATTGGGCCCATATTTTTCTCTCTCAGATTCTTGGACTATGTGAAATAGATCAGCTATTTGTTCGTCGTTAATGACTACTTTCTCCTACTTTTTCTCCGTTGGGGACGGCCTAACAAGGATTTGGGGAATCTTAGGTGACATCTTACAAACAACAACTTGTGTCAACCCAAAAGAAGTATGGACAACATTTAAAGAGGGTTAAAATGGAGAGCTGCCGCAAGCTCATTTGAACTCACATGGCTGCAACCAAAAGACTAAGTGGAGATCAGGGTGTTCTCTGTCAGGAGAAGCATAGTTGGGCCGCTTGAATTTTTTCCATTGTAATAATTCGTTTTTTTTTCTAAGTTAGGTTGCTGGTGAAGTTGTAAGCTTTGTATTTTACTTGTCTCCTATCTAATAAAAATGATGGTAAATCTCTTGCCGTCCTTTAAAAAAACAATTCGAGAATTAGAAGAGAGGGACACAAATGTTGACGTACACACAAATTTTATTATATGGCAATAGCCCGATGGTTTCAGATGAATAAATCATGCATACATTACATGAAGGACAAATTTCACACATACTGTATAAATAGCATGCGAGCCAAGAGACACCCTTTAAGTAAATAAAGTTCATGCTCCAAGGCCCAACCATCATATGTGGAAAGTTCAGCTAGTTAGAGCGCCATAGTTAATTTCACTGCCTTTCGATTCAGTTTGTTGATTTAGTGCCGTGAACCTTACGTGCAAATGTTGCAGCCACAAGAAGCGGAAAAGCAATCGTCGCATCGCAATGCACCTGCAAATTCAAATGTTTGAAACTTTCTGTTACTTTTCAAGCTGTATGTATGACAATTTGTTACAGAAATAATGGTACATGTGAGAGAATCATCCATCATCCAATCAATGTCTATCACCAAAAGTATTTTGTTGTTTATTTTCCTTCTTCGACAACATTATCATGTGAAACAAGCAATTTTAGAAAACTAGAATTCAGTTAGAGATAATGCATTTAGGGTTGGTTCGCTTCCAAAATATGTGAAACTAGAATTCAGTTAGAGATCATGCATTTAGGGTTTGCTTGGTTTGCTTCCAAAATATGCCAAGCCAAAGTTTGACAAGTCATGAGTTTGGCTGTTATCTGGTTTGTTACCAAAACTTGGCAGACACTCACATTTGACTTGCCAAATTTATGGTAAATTTTTTACCTGATTTATGCTTGTCAAATCTTTGGTATGACAAATTTTGATCGCAAACCTAGATTCTTTTTACACACGAATCAACAGATCCCATTACAGATCATGAACATTGCCAAAAAGGAAGTTCAACAAGATGTGTGTAATAAGAGGAAAAAGTTACCATGCTGAAGGATATATGTACATACCTTGACAGTTTTTGCAGAGCTCTTGATCTTTCCCCATGAAACCGCTTCGTCAGGCCGTGCCCCAGAATCACTACCATCAAACTCCTGAGCAGTGTTGACATACACTGCATAATCTGCACCGTTGCGCAACATATTGGCATTGCATATGTGATGCTTTGGAAGGCCTCCACCAAGAATTATAATCCCTGTCTTCCTTGGGATTGCGTGGATGGTTTCCGCATTCATCAGCCGTACATCTATGAAGATTTCAAACATGATCTATATGGAAAAAAAAAAAAATGGAAAAGGAAGAAGCATAGAAATCAAGTCAAGTGGAACGTACCTTGTACAATGTCAACAATAAGACCAGGATTGTGGACCGAGTGACAAAATAGCATGTCTCCAATTGATCCGTCGGTCAATGCTGGGCAGAACACAGGGATGTTGTTCTGCTCATGTTTTGATGAGTCAGTTATGTGTGGATTCAGTCTTTGAGATGTTCCCATGTGTTTGCTGCTTTGTAATAAGAGTACAAAAGTTTGAATCCAATACTAGTTTAGTTTGTTAATTACCTTGTATGCCCAGTAAAGGTAGGAGCTTTCATCATTTATTTCTTTGCCAAGACGAGCAATCACCTTTGATGGTGTCCAAACATTCTGCAGACAAGAAAGAAATCATGGAGGCCATGAAAACTTGTTTGGATACTCATGTCTCTTGAAGAACAGGATGCATCAGTGTGTGATATTCAAGCTGCATTTGTCAAGGAATGCTTGCTTACTTCGGTGGATTGTTCCAGCAGCATCTTGTCAAGGATTGGCATGATCCAGTTCTCAAACTTGCAGTAGTTATCATTGGGCACCAAAAGGTTTCCTATCCGGTTAAGTCCTTTGGACCGCAGCAGAGCTCCAGGTAAAGAGAAATCACCTTTGTAAGTTGGCGCAAGGCATTTGATGAGATCCTCCTCTATACCCCCAGCAGTAGTAACGATAACATCCACCTGAAGAGAAACATTTTGTGGGAGGAAATAAATGTACGGATTAGGAAACTAGACATAGATGCATCTGATGACCTGACAATCTCAGCACAGTACTATCTAGGCATACTCTGTAAACTGATTCACAAAAGGGGCGATAGTTAAACTTGTTTCTAATTTAATTTCGATACAGTAAGTTGAAGAATTCACCATGCCATGCTGAGCAAGAAATCGGATAATCTCCCGAACACCAGAAGACACAAGGTTAGAAGTGAAGCCCAGAAAGATCTTGCACTTCACGGATTCTCTATATGCAGGATCAAGTTCAGCTTCAGCACAATCATCGCTTGGCTTCTCGTGGGATAACCTCCAGTCCAACTTGTTCCAGCCAAGCAAAGGATAAAGGGTGAGCAAGATAAAATAGTTAAGAACCTTGAAAAGGAGAGTATCCACTCAGCAGAGCTGAAAAAAGAGCAAATTAGCGCCAGATAGATATACACTGTATATATGTTGCTCTCTACTATATAGTCCAATCATCAAGGCATTATTTGGACGGCGGTTTTTTTTTTCTTTCTGTTCCTGTATTTTTACCGTGAAATCAAACTAATTTTTAAGAAATTTATTTTTGCATTCCATATGAGGCATAAATTGAAAACATCAGACATTCCGAGCCATTTCGGTCCGCTAGCTGTTTCATTTAGATCAAAACTTCAGAACATCTATGTATCTTGTCAGTAGGTCTGGCTTTGAAGCAAAGCAGTCTACAAGAGTGCTTCTGTACCACAGATGTGCTCGTAGTTCTAGTAAATTTTTAACTTGTCAAATTTTTTATGAATTTTTACAAAACGAGTTTTCAAGTCAACTTTTGTCACAGAGTACATATATGGGTGTGTTTTAAGGCGTTTTCCACATTTCCACCGTAAAGGTAGTTTGTACTGAATATTTTTCCGATATATGTAAGGTGGTCAAACTGTTGCTATTGCCATCATAGTATCATTACGTTTTGGTCAATTCTGTATCCTGTTACACTTTTTTTTAAGCCGTCAATGCTGAGACGAAGGAGATGTGCCTTCCTGTAGCAGAGGAAGCAACCAAAGGACGGTTTTGCTTCGTGACGATGAGGTACTGAAGAGTTTTTGTGGGATTCTCGTCCGTGCGAGCGAGTTTGGCATGCAAATAAAGCGGGTGACGTGCGTACGTACCATCTGGTTGACGACGTCGATAGCGTCGCCGAGGTTAGAGGCCTGGAAGCCCGTGGACGCGAGCGAGGCGAGCAGCCCCGCGAGGCCGAGGCCCGCGTCGTCGAAGTCGGCGCCGGCGATCCTCGTGAAGCGCTTGTCGTCGAGGCGCTCCGACGGTTTCAGCAGGATGGAGCGCACGTCTTCCAGGGCGTCCACCATGTCCCGGGCAGGGACACCTCCTTCTTCTGGCGCGGCACCCATCGATTTCTGCAGAAGCTAGCTCTACACAGCCGGCGGAGCCCAAGCTCGATGGTTTTCGCTTCAAGGAGAAGGAAGGAAATTAAACCAGGCTGGACATGGCAGTATTCCACGCTGGTGTGGTGCCTTTTTATAGTTCAGGCGTCGTCCTGGATATCTTCTTTGAGTGATTTGCTGTGCTGGGCACGTGTAGTGTTTCCTATATCTTTGCCCTTATCCTAATGTGGGACAATAGTGTTCTTGCCTCTGCCGTGAACTCCAAGTCTCCAACTGTGATTTAGTAGGCTCACTTTTCTAACTTTGTGATTTTACCCTTATCTATCTTTTGAAATTGACGTCAAGGTTGGTCCCTTATTTACACACTCTTAGTTAGTACAGTTTTGATTAAATTAATTTTAAATAATAGAAAAATACTAAGGAAAGTGAGAGAATATCTTTTGAAATGCACCACAATGTCGTCCAAATACTTAGTGTCTAAATATATAGTGGTTAAAACGCAAATTTCTCAAAGAAAAATAGGGGCAAATCTGCATGGGTAACCTTGCCTTTTATAGTTGAGTTAACACGGTTAGGTGCTCTCAATTGAATATGGAAAGCTTATTTTCCAATTTAAAAATGCAATGGTAAAATTACAAAGTTAAAAAATAAAGGTGAAACCACCACTGACCTTCAATGTAGCTAGGGGCATAAACAACGCAAAAAAGCCCCTTGTCACGATGGCTGAAACATTTAAATATATATTTATGGCTCATGCTACATTTATACTTGAATGTCTATCTCAAAAATAAATACTTGATCTGTACAATGGAACATCATGCATGCACGTTTTCTTTACATTAGCTTTTTATGTCAATATTGATAGAAATGCTGAAAACATAATATTTTTTGATGAATGTTGATAGAAATATATAATTATCTCTCATACATTTATACTTGATCACGACAGACGTATTTGCTTTAATTTAGTTTTTTTTATATATTTACATGATAGAGGTAGGTAATTTAGAAATATAAAAAACGTAACCTATGGTTATTTAATCTGCTTTCATAGTAACATATACTAGTCCATCACGCGCGCCCTCGTGCGCGCTGGCAAATCACGCGCATAGGCGGGCATAGGAATGATTTGAAATATGGAGAATATATATAGACTGTATTATAAGTAATAAGATAGGTAGATATACATCGGAAAAGTTCAGAGGATATATGCATACATTTGAAACTTAATTATAAGAGAAGACGTATGTTTGATTAATGAACTGGGAATTAGGTAAGAGTGGCACACAAATATATGTATATGTACTATATATGGTGTAAGACTGGAAAACCTAAAGAGGACTTCATAGGTATGTATTGCATCTGCTATTTGAAGGGCCTTTTACATATATCCACTCATCCTGCAAAACTGGCCTGGAGTCATAGAAGAGGTGTTCGTATAGCTCATGGGTGGCAAGAGGGTGGGAGGTGGAGCATGAGCTGATCTGAATCTGATTCTATTTCGTCAGTGAAAGCAGGTCCTTTTGTTGTAGCCAGTGACTCACCCAAAGTAGCATCTAGGAAATTATTGTAGAGGCTTGTACAAATCATCCTGCAAAGGCATGAAACAAGGCTAAAGCCCAACCATAATCTTGCTCGTCATTATTTAAGCAGTATAGGAGTCCAGCAATCAGTATCGAAATTATACTTTAAAACATATTAGATGGCACAGGAAAATGACAACAGTTAACGACCATAAGCTGTGAAGAGTAATTATGTATAACAATTACATATTTTTTACTGCAACTATTACGAAGCATGGGCATTAACAACTCTGTAACATAAGTAATCCAAGGATAGAAGCACATAGATTTTAAGTTCACAGTACGGATGTATTACTCGAAAAGAATGAAGCATTTTTTTTTCAAAAGTAAAGTATTTACCCACTGTTATTTTCAGTTCTTATCAAGTCACAAATGGGGAGGAGAACACATATAGAACTATCAGTGCACAGCTATATACATGAAGGTCCGCCATTTTGTCCAGAAGCCACCAATTTAGATAACATGAAAGTTTATCATCTTATTTTGCTGCATAAGGTTAAGGTACAGTTAGAAGTGGAGTTCCACCATTTTGTTCATAGGCCACCAATTCAGATAGTCTAAAACTACATCATTTTATTTTGATGCATAAGGTCTTGAAGGCAGTGTCACCAAACTAATAATCTAATTGAACAGGCACATATCCATGATACACGGTAAAGTGAGATGATTTTCCGCATACCCTTTAAAAGTGTAGCTATAGGGAAGCATATTTACATGCAGATCATCAAGAGGTTGTTGTAACAGATAGAATATATTTTTATCAGACCGGAAATGCATATTGTTCCACAGGCTATACAAATTCTATTACTCAAGAAGGGCTATGTTGAAGTTAAATATGATAGAGTCCATAATAACGATGACTCAATGAACCAATACAATGATTATGGGCGCAATGAATCACTGCATACGTAGAACAGAGCACCCAAAAATTCAGTACAAACCTATTGCTGTTGTGTTTGGGCTTTTGCCCATCCTGTACATAATACTCTTTGCCCTTAATTGATCTGCAGAGCTGATGCCAATACAATTACCTCAAAAACAAATTAGACAAATCCAGAATCTGAAAAAAAGAGTACCTATCATACCTTTCTTACTACAACCATGCAAATATATTACGAAGGCATGTAGAGTAATATGAGCCATTTTGAATTAGGAAATCAGAAAATGGTTGTCCACTGAAGGCTACTTTTATATACATCAAGAACATTAAACCTTTTTTTTTGTCATCAGCCGGAGGAAGCCATTAGACTGATACATCCTGTAGTTAAGTTAGCACCCCCTCACCTAAGTATGTCCACTGCAGGAAAAATAGCCAGCTATGGTGCCACACAAAGCTTCTACTGAGAGCACCATATAACCTAAGACTGGCAGTTTGGTTAGTATTTTCAACAAGAAATCACTCAACTGTAAAATTTCAGTTAATTGGTACTGTCTTGAATATTACAAAGGTATATTTAACTCAGTTAGGTAACCTATATCAACAGGGCACATCAAACTGCATATTTCAGTTAAAATTTCTTTTTAAAATATACATAAGTAGAATCGCTAAAAGTATATTAAAGAAAATTGTATGTACTGCAATTCTTGAATCATCAATATGTATAGCAGAATGAATTATTCGTACCTTGCAGTAACATCTACTGGTTGGATTGTACTATTTCCATGAAATTAGACCAGCATACCATGTTGCTTCCCAAAAGACGTAAAACTCAATCAAACATCTCACCTCAGAAGATGCAAGATAAGAAAAGCGCCCAAGAAAACAGCACGGCACGGCTGGTCACGGCCACCGCGCACACCGCATCCCACGCGGCCTGGTAACGAGTGCAGGGCGCTATGGCTGTGGCTCCGGGGGAGCATCGTGCCACGTCAGAAGGCGTCGGCCGCCGCAGATCCATTGGCGCCGCGACTTTACCCTGCCTTGCAGTGCTAGGGTTTCGTGGAGCACAGTAGTAGATGTGGGCCGACGGGAAGAGGCAACGCCAGGGGGTGCAGCCACGCCGGTGGACAACGGCGGCGCCCGTCCTCGCGGCGCCGTTGCCGGTGACGGTCGCAGCCGGGGCCGGTGCTGCGGCGGCCCGGGGCGCCGTCGTGCCCCGCCCGCACGTCGGCGATGAGCCGGCGGCGCTGGCCCGGCTCGCATGCCGCGACGCGAGGGCGAGGGCTGGCGCCACCGCCGCCGCCTAGTGGCGCCCCTCGGGAGGCACGGAGAGAGAGGAAGGGGAGGCCGGTGAGGGAGGAGACGGAGGATGAGGGCAACTCTTTTTTCTCGAGCCGAGAAGGAGAAGGATCGAGAAGGAGGTAGAAGCTTAAGCTAGTTGGAGTATATATTTGGCCTACACTGATTTTGAAGAGGAGCCGTTCCAGAGCAAGGTTACCATAGGGGAAGCTGGAGAAGCGGCGTAGAAGAAGAAGAATCCGCTTCTACCAGAATCCGGAGGGAGCAACCGCAGCCATCGGATGAGGAGATCAGATGGCTGAGGCTATTTAGGGTGACGTGGATAGCCTGAGAGGCGGACAAAGCAAACTACCTTAATATATTAGAATTCATAATCTAAATGTCGACTTAATGGATTTTATTTTATTTTATTTGTAATACTGGCACATAATTTATATGCAAATTTAAGGAGTTACTTAGAGTAACTACCATAGTGGTATGAGTAGGTAATTTACATTAGAATTTAGAGGTTTATCTTATTTTATTTTGCATAATAAAAGAGGTGGGTAATTATTTTTTTCAACAACTACGCTAATGCCTGTGCACCGGGATCGACATCGGACGCGGACATGAGCTTCGAGGACTTCATATCGGACATGGACACATGGATCCGGTCATCGTATCGGAACTGGGTAGGACAGCAGGGATCGAGATTAAGATGGCTTGATAGGTTGTCTTCACGGGTTCTGCAAGTTTTTTAACAATACAACAAACAATCAGCTACAATGACGTTGTTTCTGTCTCCATGCAAAACCGGAGACAACTTACAGGTAGTATTTTTACTTCAGTGCTCCACACAACTAACTCAGCGTTATCGCCCAACATCTTTTAGCTATACCACCGTCCCTACCACGAGCGAATCATGCATGTGGGAGCGAATCAATAGATTAGATATTTGTTCAAATTGATATGGTTTTGTTAGATCATTTTAATTAATTTATAATGATAACGTGTACGTGGCTTCTGTATACTCCGTTCCCTTATAAAAATGTATAAAAGGTATTATGTACCATGAATTCCATGCATCGAAGGCTTTAATAATCTTCTAGTATCGCCTATATTTTGTACAATAGTGGTGTATGTTGCTCCATATAAACTAGAAGATACCCCAAGGTTCTAGCGATGAAAGATGAGAGAATGAAGTTGCTAACTTTTAGAACTTTAGAGTGCATGGAGGAATGGACTCTTCATAAATAGTCCAAGCA